ATTATTAACTGCTGTTTGTTAGATAGTCATTAAACCTTATAACACACGCAATCAAAAGAATCAACAAGTAGCTTGTGAAGTCAAGCAATTAACTTTTTGGTTGATTGCTTCAGAGTGGGAAGAAATCTGGAGCCAGTAAGATGTACAGTACAATGATTATCTTAAATCCCGCAATAACTTTGGTTTCTTGAAAGCACATTAATGTTTTGCACATGGCTGTCACTCAGTGAAAACATGTTTGAGCGTCGAAAAGTTATGCTATTTCCGTATGCTATTACTGAATTGTGCAATTTCTTGTTTCATTGACAGACACAGTCTACTGTTTTCAGTTTCATTATGTATGATGTTGTAAATTTGAATCCACAAATATGGTGTAGGGGCTGAAAATTCACCATTCCGGGTGCATAAAAGCTAATACTGACTTGACTTGGCTTCTATCAGATTTCAACATTTGTAGATCGAATTAGTGGGCATCGTTAGTGGAATGTTAGCAGGTAACCAGATGTAAACACGTCACAATGGAACGACCGAAAACCCACTCATTTCTACGTGTGGGACAAGTTGTGATTGATTGTATTGCGAAGGGGAACGAGTGAGACACATTTGTTGAGGCGACAAAACTAGTTATTTTTGCAGCCTCAGTCATTCACCTTCATCATTCTTTGCCTAGATCACCTTCGATTCAGTANCAGTATTTCAATTCCTATTTGGCCGTCTTCAGATTGCTCCTGATTTCGTTCTTTTGAATCTTTCTCACTCATATCCCTCATCGACAATTTGCGGACCGAACTGCAACACTGATTTCATACACCAGTTTCTCCATTCTTCTCCTCGCGCCGTATTAATAAAGCAACAACGTCTCCCTTTATCCGACAGGTACCACTCACCTTCCGGTCCCCAACTAGTGGTCTCACCCCTCCTTTCTACAAAACTGGTGTCTGCGTCTTTATCCACCAGTCAATCGCCGCCTCCAGAATCCCAAATATTGACCTAATAAATCCTTAATTTCACCTGATATAGCTGAAGCTCCGACTTCCTTCTTTTAACTGTATCGTTCCCCCAACAGTGATTGTGACTCTTCCATTTTCGGTTTTTATCTTCGAACATTGAACACCTGTTTGCGATTGATCCCAACTGCAATGTTACCATATTAGAAAATTTCAGCGTTCATTACATACCCAAACCGGTGGACATAAACACGATTTTTTATCATTTCATTCGAGCATACTGTACTGTAAATCTCGGTCCCGTGCGTACAGGACTTGCACTGATGTAAGCAAAACAGTCAATAGATTAACAGGTATTGAAAATTGGTTCTCGTAGCTCGGGTGAACTGAACTCCATTTTGCCTTTTCGCTGAACTTGGCAGTTTGTTTGCAAACGTTTCATCATCAGCCGAGATGACATCATCAATGCTGGTAAAGCGGCACTGATGATGTCACTTCCACTGGTGATGGAACGTTTGCAAACAAATTGCCAAGCTGGGCGAAAATGTGCAATGGAATTGAGATCAGGAAATGAACATTTGTGCAAGCATTTTACACTTTCTTGAGTGCCAGTCCAATGATATAACGGTATAGTGGTTGTCTATTTGGTTATGGTCTAATGCTTATTGATGGTCTGAATAAATATGCCATCTTCTCAGAATACTCAAGCTCTCTTCGTTACCCGACCAACGTTCCACTGGACATCCAGCAGCCGTTGGAATTGTATTTCTACTTCATTACAGTACAGAAATATATCTGACAATCGTGGTGTTCCGTAGGTGGACCGTAAAATGAATCATTGAGGACCATCGGGATTCAACTTGGGGGTAGTTAAACGAGAAATGAAAGCATTTTCGAAACATTGCTTGCTGAACAGTGCAAACAAACAAAGATGATGCAAAAACCGAGAGGAAACAATATACCGCGCGTGGACATCCTCACCCTTCAATGCGGTAAAATATAGAAAGCAGTCTGTTTAGACTGTNGGCTCATTTTACTCCATAGGATTTCCTGCCAATACGTCGTCTCGATGGGGTGCAGTAGCATCGGAACGCGTTCACGCCTGTCGTCTGTAACGATCAGTTAGTACGCGACTTATCGATTCGAATCGTAATTGTTTCACTCCGTGATGTGATGATCCACAGATTTTACGTGATCATTCAACGCCGTGCCTGATACCGTGCAATTGTCGAGTTAGGACAAAAAATATGCTNGCTCACGGACAATGGGCTAGGTAATCAGTTTGCTAATGTCTGTGAGTCAAACCGTTTGTGAACTCTTTTTCGATGTGTGCTGCCATCAAACAATGTGGCTAAGTATTTATTTGCTTAAACAATTCTAGTAACACACTGGAATTCGTCGCATAAACAGATTCGCGACACAAGAAATATAACACTGCATTGCGGTTGAAAGACAAAATCAAAAGACTTATTCGTATCTAAAGTGATGATGACAGGTTTTGTTCACAAGTCTCGGATTGTGTTTTTCAGTTGCTTTAATTCGCTTTTAAGAGCTAGAAAAATGGAACCCTTTTTTAATCAATTAATTGACCCGGTGGATGAATCGAACCACATTTCACTACTCCTAATTAGATTCACGGAAATGAGTTTCACATTTTGGTGTTGCTTCATTCGCACATGCAGTTGAAGCCCTGCATGGTAACCATACCTACTTTTTCGAATGGTTGCATTACATGTGGTGGTGTTTTTCAACTGGTTGCGTTTTCCTCATTGCATGTTTTTTGTGTGTTTGGCGAGTTATAATTTGCATCCATACATGGTAATCACTCGCGATGCATCCCGCAGGTCTCAATTCGTTGTAATGAACTTGAATTGAAGGAGTTCAGATTCGATTATTTACCTATAATTTCGCTAAATTGAATACACATTGGACCAGCACTGTGAACCAATAGATGTGGACACATACGTGCTTGCTACTGTACAAAACACCACCTTCAGCAGAATGGTCCGTGTTGTAACGCTTTCGGGTGCGAGATAGCAGTGAGGTGATCTTGTTTTTCTTCTTCTTGATCTTTTTTTGGCTCTTTCAGTGAGATTTTGTTCAATACTGTTGCTCCTCAATCAACAGACTACTCTTCAAAACTGCATCACTATCAATTGTCACAAATTCCTAAACCGTTGTCGGGTTGCTGCGTTCAGTTGGTAGTCCGTGATTTAGATCCAACATCGCAAGATCTGATTTGTCCATTCTTATGTATTGCACTGTATCTAGAAAACCAATGCCACAAAGAACATCGTATAATTAATGATGCCTGAATTTTATGCAAAACATCTATAGTTCAGCCGTAAGCATTCATATCAGAAACAGATTTTGTCAAACCTTTACCCGAAGTCTGTGAGTCTACGGTACTTAAAACTCTAGAAAGAAGGGGTTTTTGAAAATCATTTTGAAAGTTTGTGTTGTGATGTAGTCGAGTAGTTCCACCAGAGCTTTACGAGCAAAACGGGAAGCTTAGCGTTGCAAAATAAGCTATTCAGTGTTGTAGGGGGCGTATTGTTAAAAACAGGTATGACATGATACCCTTGTTGATGGCTATTATCACTCCTTGATGATAATTAATTTAACTTCATCCTGTAGTGAAGACACGGGCGCAGCCATTTTCATTTAACTGTAAGTCGTGTGCATGTCTCACTAGACCTTTTGGTTCATGGTTGCTTTTTGTATCTTCCCTGTCTTGCAGGTCGTTTGGAAGCCCCCTCCACGGAGAACCTCCTGTGGGAAGTGTATCCTACTTGTGTATTAAGAGCGTCAGTGAGTGGCCAGGGATTGCGTGGTCTTTTGTGAAGACGCTTATTGTATAAGAACTCGGACTGCGTTACTTGGAATCAATCTGCCGGTGTATTTACAATGATTTCAGAACAGGTGTCGGTCCTGCATACTACAATCCTCACTTTATAGGATAGGGGATGACATTCCAATTTTGGTTACGCTTTATGAGCTGAAAACAAGCGATTTGATTAATGTGGTGTATAATGTCACAGAAGTTGTCATTTGGGGGTCACTGAGTTAATTAATCAGTATTTTCGATTGTAAAATCACCCACGGTAACCAAAACTTTGTCTTATTTTCAACTGTACCGACAACGCTGTGTTCTCACAATTACAACTTATATAAAATCAGTATTTTCCTTAAATTGAGGTCCTTATCAAGGTTGTGTTCTCACATAGGTACAATGACTTCCAGGTTTAATTGAATGATCGCAGTGAAGGCTAACCTCAGAGTGCTGTCATTGGAAGATGTGCATTTATGTGTAGTATTTATATGGTAATCGAAAGTATCCCTCAACAAAAACGTCCTACCTCTTGTACAGCAGCAGTTTTACAAAAGCTGCATCGTAACGAAAAGCTGAAGACCACGTAAACCATTGTGTGGGAAAATGGAACAGCTTTCGTATTCATCCAAAAATTCACCAAATGAGAAATACCAAAAATAATCGAATCAATTAACGACAATAACACAATAATTCTACTTTTCTTGTGATCGCATACCATTGCATTTTCCAGCTCTGTGGTTAGGTGGTTGCATCCGAAACTGATTGTTTTTAACCACCTTTAAGGATGTGCCGGTGGCTGATATACAATCAGCTCGGATATTGAGAAATGGCACGTGATCCCTACCAACGTTGCAGTTTTGAGCAATCAATGGAACAGTGTAGTCGTTCTCGAACCAAACAAGCAAAAAGATCAGCTAACAAACCATCTCTCTAAAACTTACCGGAATGCATGCTGTGAAATCAGCTGATTTGTGGTTTTTGGCTGGCGGTAAGAAGTTGACCAATCAGAATACAAGCTGATCGATGAACGTGGTGTGCAAATGAGAAAGCTCATGGGTAGGCATGTATTTGTCGGATACTGATCTCTTTCCCAGTAAAACACAAGCTACAAGTTATTGAGACATGTGTGACAACAGACAGGCATAAACAGCCTTATAAATATACATACTTTCAAACGCCCACGTGCGTTCCATGCGTGACAAGCTCAAACCACATTTCGAATGAAAGCTGTCGAACTGAGCGACGAGATGGATCAAGCGTTGGCTGTTCTTCGGGGATTTCTTTATGATGAATCGTTGGACAGAAGGCCCATCATTGTGGGCTATTTAACTGAAACTGAGGATATTATCGAGTTGGGAATAGATCAGTTCCTTGACCAATTACAAATGCAACCACAGGAACAGATGCATCAAGTCTATCGTATCCTCTATTTCAAATATCGGTCATGGATTGTATGGAATGCCATTACATCCAAGCCGTTTCGTGAAGTACGACGCCAATGTATGCAAGCGGATCGTTGTGCCGATCTATTGGCTCGTATAGATTCGAACAATGAGGTCAATCAAAATAATGATCAGACAGATTCGCAACAATTTCTTCCGATGCAAAAAGATTCGTCCTCGTTGCTACCAGCTATATCACGTCACATGGAATTGACTAATATGTTCTGGTACAGGCCAGACTCGCCCAACTTCTTTCTCTGTCAGCGTGTGATTTGTGATCAATTTGAAAAGATGGCTCGTCGAGTTCGAGCACATTTAGGCCAATATGATGACGTGTTTCACGATCTGTTCTATCCGTTCGAACGAATGCATCTGACACTTTGTGTGTTCTCCTTGAAAGATCTGTCCCAGGTAAGCCAATCACGCCGTTTTCCGGGTCCACTGTTCAGTTCAGTCTGATGTACATACATAACTGTTCGCCTTCATGTAGATAGACATATAAATAACTGTGGAAGTTTTTATGGAACGACATTTGACATCTTTTAGATGACGACGTTACCCTTAATTCAAGGTTCATCCTTTATAGACAACATAATAGTATCTTCGAAATTATGATCTTTGCATGGATTTGTTTTATTGAAACATGACACTTACACGCTAGTTCCAACAAAATGAACTTCTCGGATCACGTCGCTTGCGCAACAATAACTTATACAGAGTGATCCTTAACATATATATATATATAACAGCTATGAATAGCAATCTGGAATTATTGTGACAAACAAATAGAATAGAACGGCCTCATCCAGATAGTGTACACAGAATGAAGTAGTATTCAGGAAGTCGTAGTTTAATCTGAACAACGGTATCTCCAAATCACTTCATTCTATCACGTGTCGCTTACCACATTAGTTGATTTGTTATTATACGTCAGCACTGGTTTTGGGGAAATATAGTTCAGGTATCGGAAATTTCGAAGAGAGTCTTATATTTTACTGTGAGCTTGCATTCAGTAGGTAATGACTGGGGGGTGTACCGAAAAAAATGATGCTACAAGCAGCTGTAAGACTATCATCCGTCGTGTTCAATTGTATGACCAGACGCAACCATGCACGGGTCGCGCCAGATTGAATAAAACTCCACTATCCGTTTCGCCACTTGATTTTTGCATGTCCTGCTGAACTGGGAAGTGGAGTACCGCGGCAAAACTCACTTGTGTATGTAACATAGACAGCCGATTTTAAAACCACTTTCGTTACGATAAAAATGAAATATGAGGTGTTGCACCTCTAATTTATCAATTTTTCGAATCAATTTCACGCTCCAGTTTTTACTTTCAATTCCAAAAAGTTTAGAAATAAAACAGGCACATTGTTAAAAAGATATGGGTGTGTACTGTAGTGCTAAGGTGGGAGAGTGAGAAAAGCACATGGTACTTGGCGGGTAATAGTCACTCCTGAGCTTCGCAAGAACGTAGGGTGGTGCGCTGAAAATAACCATAAAGGTTTGTTTTATCCATCAGAATTTCACGCCTCTGTGGTCTTTCCTCTAATGTATCTACGAGTTGAATTCACGCAGTGAGGTGACAGTCATAACCGAATTGTTAAACATTTATAAACTGATAGAAAACGATTCGTCTACATTCACTTAATAAGTCTCTTATTTTGTGTGATTTTGCAACCATTGGTCACGATAGTGTCAATAATATCACGAAGTAAACATGAGTTCCATCATTATTATTGAGCTCTCCAGTGTATCACCGTCTTGGCAACCAGAAGTAGATTGCTCGTTTTGTAAAAGAAGAAATGTGACAAATCAGGCTCCATTCCTACAGGGGCACAAGTCAGCCATTTCATATTTGCTAAAAATTCTGAGAAAAAGCCGTTTCAAGACAAATTTTTGTTAAGCTGCAGAAAATATGTTGAAATGTTTAGATTGTCGCTGAAATTATTAACTGTCTTTGGGAGAACCTAAATACTCACCAGCATGAAACCACGAGACGTTTTTAATTGCTACAGTTGCAATTATATATGTTGATGGACACAGTTGTCGAATGACATTACCAGAGGTACTCGTCACTGTTTGCTGCCCAATTCCCGACTGACTGTTCTTCGATAGAAGACAATACACGAAGTAAGAAAAAGAATAGTTTAACAAGTTCTTGTTGTAACGTATGAAAATCAGGGTCTGTGTGCTGATCTTATTAAATGCGTCTTACTGTTTGGAAGTTTGTGGATGCCCCGCTGGTTTCAAGTGATTTTCTGATAGGATCGTACTTACTAGCCGAAAATGTATGATTGACTGAAAAAATTGTACGCTAAAGGTGTTGATCGCCGACCGAAACCGTTCATGTCGTTCAGTGTTCTCGTTGTTACCTAATTCCCATCTCAGCAGATACCCATTTAAGTCAGCGCTCTAGAAGTGTCTAATGGGATTCCGCTGTCATTCTTATGGTTGTGAAATATATGACGTATTTTGAATGTCTTACTATCTGACGTTGTCTGTGAATCCTCGATGAATTCATTCAAACCCATAGTTTCTGAATTATCTGCCTATATGACATTATAAAATTCGATAAAGTGGATAAAATAATGAAGTTATGGGAGATTTTTCATATACGATATTGTGAACAGGATTTCCCATTTTCTCTGTCCTTACAATCAATTTATTTATGCTGGAACCCCTATGGCGTAACCAGCAACAACTTGTAGGCTTTCCGCATAATACAACTTTGACTTTGATGATGTTGTTCAGGGTGTGCGTGTTTTAGCTTACAACCCGAAGGCGTGCAGTTTAATTCCGGGCAGGGACACACATTGTTATCCATTTTGCATTAGTGCATTAGTTTGTATAGCTTTAGCCACACCTCTTGTTCCTGTGCGTACGGTAGACTTTAGGACGGTTAAAATCTGTCACTGATGTTGCATCGCGGTTCACGGTTACGAAGCCTCATTCTCAGAGAGTGTTAAGTGCCCATCGAGTGTTTCTCTCTCTCTCGGATAAACCACGTCATATAAAAATAATCCGCGAGGAGGGCAAGCCACGTTGAGGTTACAGACATGTAAAAAGGAGACTCACTGTGACCACGTGTTTCAGGCATACTTCCCAATACTCTCTATAGAACATAAGACTGGAATTAATTTCAATTACACCGATGGTACTCGGGACATAACAGGTATACTTAAACGGGTGAAATGAACAAATTGATGGAAGTTCACTTTAAATAGCCTGAGGTCTGATAACTTTCTGAAGTGGGTCACCAAACTGGGAGAAATTACATATATATATATTGTTCAAGTTTCCCAGACTTACTAATTCTAGGTAAGCTGTCTCAGTATTTTCTTCACTTTTAAAACCGCACAAATGATGAAATTTATACTCTCATATCCTCGATAAAAGCAGTCATTTTGAAAGATTCACGGAATTGGTACATCTGTTTTCCGTCCCTTATTTGGAATTTGGACTCCAATAATGTGTACTCGTGTCTGAGCTTAGCCTTCAAATGAATGAATCATGGCGGTGACCCGGTATTATTCACTAGCTGCTCACTCATCAATGCGGAATGGGATGGACAGCATGGCTTCTTCACGTCTGATTAGAAAAACATTCTTCTGAGTTCATCGTCTTGCACACACAGGTGGGTTGCTCTCTTTTGTTCTTTGTCCCAACCACGTGTACTACAGCACAATCGAGTAACCCTTACAAAACTACACGCTCGATGAAAGCTGATAATTTTAATCTCATAAAGAAAGTAACATGACCTTTTCTGTAGGAAACACGAAGTCATGATGACAAACGGGATCCACAGTAGCGGAAACCGCGAGTTTCACCACCAACAGTGTCTTCCTATCGTTCACTGACGTAATACGGCTTTGATATCCGCTGACATAACGGAGCCTATTCCTAGTTCTGGTTGAATTACACAGATGAAGGTAATACACCCGAATGATCATGATGCCTCTAATGGGAGCAGCCTCTCAAGTACTGTCATAACATCAGCGGTAGATAAGGCAATAGCACCTGTGATTAGCATGACTGCACAAGATTGGTATTACAAACCTGGCAAAGACTATTCATTCAGTAAATAGAGGTGAACTTCATCCGATATACCGAATACTTCATATTGAAGCATTGGAATTTTGCAGGGAAGATTACACATTTGGATTTTACTGTATAGGCCGATTAGCAGTTACGGTCTACTGTAACCCCCGGGGTGAAGTTGAGAAGGCAATGATCACTGATTACCTTGTCCCTTTGGTCATGCGTTGGGTTTTACTATGTGTTTCAGTTCTGCATTAAAAGATTTCAATCATATTTCGCCTCTGCAAGGAGAATCCAGTGATTAGTTTCCAAAAGTAAGGCACGCGGGGAAAACATGCTGACCATTAGGACGTGAAAATAGGAAAAATCGCATCAAACTCCTCGAAACGGCCGCATCACACATTACCGCCTCCTAACTGGGATGGAGTTTAGGAAAAATACAGGATGTTGTCACAAAAACCAAGAAGAATAAATCCAAAGTCAATTTGTGGATTAAATTTGTCGAGGTATTCGCATGCATTTTTGATGCGCTTCGAAATTCTTTCTCTCTCAGCCCTATTCTAATGCGACATCACTTGTTAACGCTAGATAATTTTGCCGTGACTTACCATTGATCTAGATCGCACGAGCTACTATATATGCACCCACACACACAGATGAGATCAGGCTGGTGAATGTGGTCGAGCCATCTGATCATCTTTCAATCTCTGTGTGAACGTCTCATCGCCGCTGTCTAACCTTTCACTATCCCTGTCTTCTTGCGCATTTACATGCATATTGAGTAAGAAAAAGGAAGAGAAAACATTAGAAAAAAAGAAGTGTTTCGTGCAACAGTTTGGTACAAAACCGTACTAGGTTGCTTGATTATCAATTGTCGCGAATGGAGACCAGCCCTCAGACGATTCAATCAGCTCTTACTGGGAGAATGACAACGCAGATTTGGTACGATTAAACTATTAAAGAAACAAGTCCCGAAGAGCGACACACAACACTGAGGGGTTTGCACACCAACACTTGGAGATGTGAAATCAGGCTAACCTGGTGTATTCACAAGAGATTGATGGTTGAAATGGTAAATAGAATAAGTCAGTTGCTTTCGAAAAAATGTTCTGCATCGGTCAGACTTATCTGTTCTGTGCATTATCTGTGCTTTTTAAACAACTCATCAGGAGAGTTGTGAGTTTGAGTGGTGAAAATTTCAAACCACCCCCGGAGTTTGAGGAAATACTTGACATTTTACTGTACTTTACTGACATGATTTACCACAATGTCAGGTTGGCGATATAAAGTTCGAGCAACTAGTCACATGATAGAGGTTTTGGTGAAATTTTGTTTGTGTATCATCGATTTGGCTTGAAGATTGCAATGAT